TATTCTTTAAAGGGCTGTTGGATTGCTTTCTGAGCTCCATATTTTTTCACATTTTAGCATCTTTGATATTGGAATGTATCATGTAATCTACAGAGTGTCAGAGTTTAATTGGTGGTATTTCTTTCTTTGTGATACAAAAAATATTGAGGAGCTTGCACTGGTATCTTGCATTCAGTAAACCTGGGCATTTGGAGCTTAGGGGCAAGTGGAGGAAGGGTAAAAGTGGAAGTACCTTGTCTATTCAGAATGGAGATTCTATTAACCAAGGCAGGATAAGATAACTGCTCCCCCCCACCTAAAAAAAAAAGTCAGCCAAGAGTTTGAGACATTCAGAAAGAAGAAATTACCTTAAATGATACCACTTAGTGGGAGGAGATTTTTTTAAGGACCCCCAGGTTATTATACTTTAGTTCACAGGTCTCCTGGAACTAGTATGACACTATTTCAACTGAGATTTGGGAAGGCTAAAAAAAAAAAAAAAAATTGGCAGTATCACAGGAATAGTCCACTTCCAAAGATCTTAGAAGAGAGATAAATACATTTCTGAGATGGCAGGCCAATTTAGGAGAGATAGTTTTTACTATAGGACATATATATATATATATATATATATAACACAATGCTATATTTTATAATTTTCATACATATGAGATTTTTAAAATAATTTTCTCTTGTTGCATTACAAGGGCCCATCATTCAGTGCCCATGACACTATTTCAACTATGAAAGCATCTTTATCCTGTACTGAGAGGCTGACAGCAGCTAGGTGTGGTCATTCCTTATCAGAGAGAGGTCTTCTGTCCTCCTGAACCATGACATATGGTTTAAGGTGTAGTCTGGCTATCTCTGGGCCCTGGTGGCTCAGACGGTAAAGCGTCTGTCTGCAATGCTGGAGACCCGGGTTCGACCCCTGGGTCGGGAAGATCCCCTAGAGAAGGAAATGGCAACCCACTCCAGTACTCATGCCTGGAAAATCCCATGGACGAGGAACCTGGTGGGCTACAGTCCATGGGGTCGCAAAGAGTCGGACATGATGGAAGCAACTTAGCATGCATGCATGCAACATTTATTGCAATTTCTTTTAACATTTGCATCTAACTGCCCCCACCGAGCTCCTGCAGGCAATCAGGACGCCTGGCTTGCCTGTCATCAACAAGTGTCCAGGCCACTCCTCTGTCTGCTCCAGCTTCCCTTTGTTATTAATACAAAGACTTCCATTTTGTAAACCACGAGGACCAGTAATAGGAAGACCTTCTCAGACAGCTGCAAGGTTAATTTTTTTTTCTGTGGATTTACCTGAAGCTTTTCTCCCTGTGCAAGTGAGGCAGAAGGACACAGCAGCTTGACTAGATCACAGTGTAGCTGCAGCACCTGATAGTTCATGCTCAGGGCCCAGGGACAAACTAGCCTGCGTTCTTTGAAAACACTGTGACCAACCACTGCCTCTCTTTTGCTTCTGAGTTTGAGACTCATAATGCAAACAGTGGCTCAACGGTAGCAATTTTACTGGCCCTGATTGTTCAGCAACAGTATTTCTCTTCTCCAAAGTCTTGATGTTCAGATTTCCTTACATTTTTCCTGGAGCCAGTTTCTGTATTAGTTTACATGTATTGTAATAATTGTAAAACTGTAATAAGTTACTGTAGGTTTTCTCTCAGTGTATGAATAATGTATGATTTTTAAAATCCATTCCTTGCAGATCACTTCCATAAACTTCTTCAGGTACTCTCATTTGAAAAATATGTTTAATTGAAACATACACATTAAATACTTCCCAGCTGGTTCTCTTAGCAACAATTGTAGCCTGTTTCTAGTATAAGACCAAGTTTCTACCATAAACTAACTTTGGGGAAAAAAACCACCTAAAGAAAAATTTGCCATGTTTTGTTTCATAAGCAATATGAGCTAATAAGGTGTCATTGGTCTCTAACAAAGCTGTGTCTCAGTGCTGAGAAACTGCAAGTGTTGGCTGCAACCTCTATGACCCTCAGCTGTACCAACTTAATTTATAAAATGTAATTACTGAGCCAATTGTGAGGTACTGAATATGATCGTATCTCTGCAGTGACTCACCTGCCAATGGAAGGAAAACAAGACTGTTCTCAACATTTATAATTTCCCTAAGAAGTCTTCCTGTTGCCATGGTGATGTTGATGCTTTTTAGCTCAAAAAGCAAGAACTCTACATTGTTACTACCATAATTGATAAATGGCAAATGGATCAGGCATGATGGATGATGAAGGTGTCATGGGACTATAGTTGTTCAGTTCTGTAGGTACCATGAGATCAGAGACAGAAAGACAGCATCAGATATGGTCTCGGCAAGACATAGGAGCTGTTGGGCTGGAACTCTTCCCCTTTGTAGCTGAGATTTTGGGCAAGTTACCCAACCTCACTTTCCTCATTTGTAAAGTGGGGATAATAATAATACTCTCAGTTGTATGGATCAAATGAGTTAACAATTATAAAGCATTTAGAACAGAGCCTGCACACAGGACGCATCATTTGAGTTTGTTAAAATAAGCTGCATAGTGAAGCTTAACCAAACTTCGCTGGTAGTTTTCAGCATTAGAACCTACAAATCACTTTTCAGGTCCAGGAATAGTAGAATCTCTTCAGTCTGATGTTTCTAGATATTGCAAGCTTTCAAAATAGTTAAATGTATGAGTTAAGGAAGAAAGTGGTTTTTTTTTTCCCAGTGGAATATCTATTCTCAGTTCCTAGAAACTATGACTTAGAAATCTATGTCTACTCTGTACATGTGTATCATTGTAGACAATTTTGTTAACACATTGTAGACAATTTTATTAATTTTAATAACACAAAATTATTAACACAATTTTATTAGATTTAAAATTCATGTTATTAATCATAAATTTTAGATTAAGTAAACTCCGATCTTTGAATTAAACCAAAAATGCTTTGAATTCCAGTGCTGCCATTTCTTAGCTATGTATTCTTGGGCAGATTTCTTAAGTCCTCTGAGCTTCTGCTTCTCATTTGAGAAATTAAAAAAAATAGAGTTGTTGTGTTGATCAAATAAGATCCTATTAGCAAACTGAATAGCATACTTAAATGTTAATAATGAAACATGGGATTATTTAATGGATAATCAGTAAATATTGGGTTGGTCAATAAGTTCATTTGTTAAGATATTACGGAAAACACCAGATGAACTTTTGGCCAATCCAGCAGTTAGCATGAAAATGTTAAATACTTTTTTACCTTCTCATTGCCAACGTGGCCACTTCTAGGAGCCCTTCCTGGATCCTCCTTCTCCATCACCATTACATAACTCCTGTTTCCAGTGTCTCCTTAGCTCATACTCCATTTACGGGACCACATCTGAGGCTTGGTAACACCCTGACTTGGAACTATTCCCAAACTTTTGTCTGCTTTGTCTTCATATCTCCATTATCAGCATTTTGAGGGCAAGAGGCAGCCTCCTTGTTTTCTGGTCTCTTTTAATTAAGCCCTGTGCCCTGTTCTGTGCACAGTTCATAGGTTGGTCATTATATCTTAATGGATAAAAAGAGTGGCCATTGTTATGTATTTTTTTATTTAACAAATGGAGGAGGAATGAGATCCGAGTGTGGATTCACACTGAACTGTGCTGTGCTGTGCTTAGTCACTCAGTCGTGTCCAACTCTTTGCGATCCCATGGACTGTAGCCTGCCAGGCTCCTCTGCCCATGGAATTCTGCAGGCAAGAATACTGGAGTGGGTAGCCATTCCCTTCTCCAGGGGATCTTCCCAACCCAGGAATCAAGCACAAGTCTCCTGCATTGCAGATGGATTCTTTTACCCATCTGATCCACTAGAGAAGCCCTAAGAACTAAAAACAAGGTCAGAAACAAGCCTTTCTGGCATAGGATGGTGCCCTGATGAACTCAAAGGAAATGATTGCTTTGGGTGGGCCAAAAAGTTCATTTGGTTTTAAGTAAAAATAAAAAGACATATTTTTCATTTTCACCCAGAACTTTATTGAACAACATATTCACTAACTGAAGAAACTCTTCTGGCCAACCCAATAGAAAGACAAATGAGTCATGTACTGAGAGCATTATCTTGTGGGTTCCTCACAATTAGGGACTTGGAGCAGGATCCAACAAAACAACAGGAAAAGAACAGCTAAGTAGTGGCTCAATCGGGTAAGTAGGGTAACCAGAAAGCCAGAAGGGGAAAAAAACTTTAAGATGTGGTATGTGTTTGGGTACATGGGTGTGTGTGTGCGTAGAGGCGAAGAAAAATTAAAATTAAGAAAATGCCACTAGTTTTCATGAGATCATTGGAAACCTTCAAAGAGTGTGTCAAGCAACCTATAGAGGCTAAATACAAATTAAGAGGATTCAGAAAGAATCGGTGGTTGGGAAGTGAACATAGCTGGTGTAGACCAGTGGTTTGGGAGGAAGCAAGATTGGATACAAGATGCTAAAGATGGAAGATGCAGGAAAGATGTCAACAAAACAGAAACATTCTTGAATTTCCAATGACAATTAAAAACAAATCATTGCAAAGCTCAAATAAAATCACTCTCTAGTGGCATCTGTATATGCCTATTACTTCCAGCATGAGAAAACTGAGAAGTATAAGTGAATCTGATGGTTCTAATTTTCCCTAGTACACAGGTTCTTTCAAAGATTGAGACATGGATTAGCATGTATTGAAAATATTTTCAGGCTAATTATGGTAAAGTATTATTGTTGAAAGTTAATGTCTTAAGTTTTCAATAATTACTGGCATTACCCATATTCAGGGTCAGGAAAGAAGAAGATAAACTATTTTTTAATATTTATGTGTATTTATTTATTTGGCTGCACTGGGTCTTAGTTGTGGCATGGAGGATCTGTAGCTGTGGCATGTGGGATCTAGTTCCCTGACCAGGGATCAAACCCAGGCCCCCTACATTTGGGAGCAAGCAGTCTTAGCCACCGCACCACCAGGGAAGTCCCGAAGGTAGACTTTTATACAGAATGAACTCTCTGTTTTGTATCTGCATAGGTCCCTCAGGATGAATGGACAGGGTACACCCCTCGAGGTAAAGATGATGAAATCCCCTGCCGAAGAATGCGGAGCGGCAGCTACATCAAGGCCATGGGAGATGAAGACAGCGGTGACTCGGACACCAGCCCCAAGCCTTCTCCCAAAGTGGCTGCTCGAAGGGAAAGCTATCTCAAGGCGACTCAGCCATCCCTCACAGAACTCACCACTCTCAAGTGAGTGTTTCCAATACTCTACTTCCCATCCCCCACTTCCTGTTTTATCCCTTATGATCCGATCGCACAGCTTCTAGAGTAAGTGTGGCAAGCAACATCCCACAGGTGGAGCAGCATGATATATTGAAGAGTCTATTGGTTTTGACCTTGAGTCTGACATACATCCCAGTGCCTTCAAAGACATGGTATCCAGGTGTATTTTGCATAGAGCATAAGCTGAACCACCAACCTCCAAAAAGAGTTTGCAACAATCCAGAATGGCTTCTAAAGAGAATTAGGAGTTCTCATCAATGAGGGTGTCTGTGTATTCCCACTCTTGGTTGTTTGTTTAGCCATCAAATCCACAGGGCAATGCTTCCTTAAAAAACTCTTGGATTTTTCAGATGACTGAGTGATAAAATAGTGTAGATCAGTGGTCCCTAGTGGTTTATCTGTATTGTTTAAAGTCAATGCTGAGTTCCTTCTGAGGCCACTGGGAGAATCAAATGAGAGATACTGAAAGTACTTGGTAAACTGTTGTTCACAATTACTTATCTTGTAAAAAAGGCTTGAAAACAAATGAATATATTCCTAGTGATCGGGATGGATGATCAAATATACTTCCTATTCATTGGTCCTTTGGGCTCACAGATAAGTTTGAAAGCATGCGAAGCAGTTAACACGGTCACTGAAAAGAACACTTCTCCAGTTCTGAAGGGAATAGTTAGTGCTGATTTGTTACAGCCACTCCCCTCCTCCCCATAGAAGTAGAAAGAATGGGATTCCCCAGATGAACAGAGGGAAATACGTTCATGTTGAGAGTGGATGACAGTACGAGGCATGGCTTCATTGGTATTTTTAACCTGCCAATATGTACCTGCCAGACCGAGTTCCCAGCCTCCAGGTGGGCTAGCGATGCTCATTGGACTTAAGAAGGGACAGGGGGCTTTTAGAGAACCATGGCTTCAGAGGCTAGGCTGGAAGGGGGAGGGTGAAGTCTGAGCCAGCACACGTGCAGCCAGAGGAGGGGGGGTGGGCAGGTGTGAGATGACAATTCAACTCAACAACTACAGGTAAAGCTACTCCGGGAAGCTACTGATCAAGGTGCTGTAGCATATAGGGATTGTGTAATGGTGAGGTAGCATTGCTTGCATCTCCTTGGGGTTGTGACAATACTCCCAAGGGCTTCACAATCATCTTTATTTTATATTTGGTCATGCTGCATGGCATGTGGGATCTTAATTTCCCAACCAGGAATGGAACCCATGCCTCCTGTAGTGCATGCCCAGAGCTTAAGCACCACCAGGGAAGTCCCCACAATCATGTTTAGCTAACATTTGAACCCCCTTGGACATGGTGTACAGAGATAATAGGAAAGTGTGTGAGAAGGTTGTAATGACCTTGAGAAAGGTTTCAACAGAGTGCTGCCAGAGTTCTTGGGAAGAAGAAATAACAGCCAACAGGGAGAGGTTAAATTTGAGAGGAAGACTGAAAACAACGGAAACTTTCTTCTACTCTTCTACTTAGATTGTAAGTTCTGTCCTACTAGAAACCCTGACTACTGATATATCCCAATGCTTAGCACATAGGAAGTGGCCAGCAATCATAATAATGATGTAATAACTAGTGAATATGAATGGGCTTCCCAGGTGGCGCTAGTGGTAAAGAATCCACCTGCCAATGCAGGAGACAAAAGAGACACGAATTTGATCAGTGGGTGGGGAAGATCCCCTGGAGTAGGAAATGACACCCCACTGCAGTATTCTTGCCTGGAAACTCCCATGGACAGAGGAGCCTGGTGGTCTACAGTCCATGGGGCCACAATGAGTTGGACACGACTGAACAACCGAGTGTGTGCACGCGCACACACACACACACACACACACACACACACACACAGAGCTAACATGAAAAGGGCACTGATCATTGCGAGGCACTCTTCTAAGTGTTTCACATACACTATCTTTTCCAGTCTTCACAATTACTCTTGAGGTAGGATATATAACCATACATGTAAAGCTGACAACAAAATTGAGACACAGAACAGTGAAATAACTTTCCCACAGTAGCCCTTCTAGAAGCGACAGAGCTATAGTTTTGAACCCAGATCATCTCCCCTCAGAGCCTGTGCTCTGAAGCAACATGCAGTCGTAAGTCTTTTTTGAAAGAACAGATGAAAAAGGAGATGGCATTCCTGGGGTATATCATGGGGAATGGCTTCGAGGTACCATTATTTTTACTGTTCACTATGTATATGCAGCTCTCCTTTTCTCGGCACGTGGCAATGTTGCACTTCTCTGCCTCTTTGAAATCAGTGTGGTCATGTATGTGGCTTTAGCGATGAAATTTGAACAGAAGTGTTGTGTATCACTTCCAGGAAGTGCAGCCCTACTCCCTGGGTCCACTTTTCTGATTTGAGGACCATGGGAACACCGATTGAGATATACCTTCTGTCTTTCTGGGTATCTGAGTGAATGCAATGAACAGAGCCTCCTGCCAGCTCATGATATGGACACAAGAAACATGTCCAAGAAATGAAGTTGTGAGCAAGAAATAAAGTTGGGTGATTTGCAGTTGTTTATCAACAGAGCCAAATTTGTCCTATCCTAACTTATACGTAAATTGATACTAGGAATGGAGTACTCATGTAACAACAAAATAAACTAAAACATATAACTGATTATAGGATTTGGTAGCAGAAAGCAAGGTAATTATCAGAGGCTGGTACATGCTGATCCATGTTATGCAGTGGTGAGTCATTTGGTAAATTGTTGTCTAGAACATGGACGGTAGATGAGGTAACAAATGAACTCTAACTCTAGGGAAAGTACTTGCAAAACATATTGTTAACAGAATGCGTCGGTTGCTCTTGGCAGCCTTCAACACCGTGTTCCATGATTTGAAATAGACTCAGAAAAGAATTGGTTATAATACAAGCAGTAATGAAAGGGAATAAGAAGAGTCTAGACATTTGTGGACTTGTGTGACTGGAAGAAGCAATTGATCTCAATCCAGTTTGTAAAAGGTTAATCTGAGAAAGCACTTGAATGAAGAAGATAGGATGAAAACTGTCCCGTGTGGCAATGTTCAAATTAGGAACATGGCCCCGGACTTCCCTGGTGGTCGAGTGGTTAAGAATCCACCTGCCAATGCAAGGGACATGGGTCCAGGAAGATTCCACATTCCCTGGCACAACTAAGCCCGTGCACCACTGATCCCGAGTTCTTGAGCCCATGATCCACAAGAGAAGCCACTGCAATGAGAAGCCCACACACTGCATTTATTTAGAGAGTAACCCCCATGAACCACAACTCAAGAAAGCCCAGGCGCAGTGACGAAGACCCAGTCCAACGACAAGTAAATAAATAAATATTTTTTAAGTTAAAAATCAAAAAGGACATGACTCCCTTGCTCCATTATTCATGCTTTGAGTGGAATCGGATGATTTAGAATGAAGATGCAATTAAGTAAATATTTTTAACTAGATTAAAATGCTTCAGAGAAGAGCAGTGGATAGGTTGGTAAGCTGAGAGTACATGAGATAGAGAGGCATGATGGTAGGAAGGCAAACAAATAAGACAGAGATGGTCATGGCATCTCCAAGGGGTCTATGAGTATGATGCCTGCTACATGGAACTCACTGGAGCCAGTAGGTTAAGAAGCTGACTGTGTGGCTTCCCTAGTAGTTCAGTGGTAAAGAATCCACCTGCCAGTGCAAGAGACAGAGTTTCTACCCCTGATATGGGAAGATCCCACATGCCACGGAGCAACGAGGCCTGTGCACCACAACTAGTGAGCCTACATGCACAACTACTGAAGCCTGTGGCCTGCAGCAAGAGAAGCGACCGCAATGAGAAACCGCACCCCACACCTGGAGAGTAGCCCCTGCTTGCTGCAGCTAGGGAAAAAAAAGTCCATGCAGCAACAAAGACCCAGAACAGCCAAAAAATAAATACAAATAAATTTTTAATTATTTTTTTTTAAAGAAGTTGACTACGATGATCTTGAGAGGACCTACTTCCCAAAGAATCACAATGAAAAGACACAGCAAAGAGAGACATCCTAAAATGTCTACTGGCTCCAAGGAGCCAATATTTCCTAATGTGTACTTTGGATATTTTGGATGTGGTCATACAGGACAACAGAAATGGAGGACTCTCCCATGGAGCTGAACAACATGGACACGGACCAGGGAAGTTGTTCCAGGGAGTAGAACCCAGGCTCCACCCCAGGACTCATATCAGCCAGAAAGAAAGTCAAAGTTGCTCAGTCATGTCCGACTCTGTGACCCCATGGACTGTGCAGTCCATGGAATTCTCCAGGCCAGAATACTCAAGTGGTAGCCATTCCCTTTCTCCAGGGGATCTTCCCAACCCAAGAATCGAACCGGGGTGTGCTGCATTGAAGGCAGATTCTGTACCAACTGAGCTTTCAGGAAACATCAAACAATGCCTACTTAACTCTGAATCTCCTCAATCCTTTGGTCATTCGGTCCTTCCTCTTTTCACCCCAGGCCAAGCCTGAGTCAAGATATTCTCACGGCCCTTCCTGTTTCAGCTGCACTTCCTGCTTGCACTTCCAGGTCAGAACCCACTTCACTGCAGCCTCTGGCATCTCCCTCAATCTGCTCTGCATTCTCCCAGTGTGCTTTGAGTGGCTCCTTTTCCTCGGCACCCAATTGGTTTTCCTTTTCTCCTCCATTTGGACCCACTGTCGTATCTTTTGCTCACCTCAGCAGTTTTGGTGAGTCCATTATTCCAACCAGCTCTTTATTCTTTCTGCTTTCAACTCTGGGCCTCACATCTTCGCTGTGACAGCTAGTTGCTGGGTAACCATGGACGAGTTATTGAATCTTCCTAAGACAGAGATTCCTCATTTGTTAAGTGGGGACAGCCTCATGTATAGAGTTATAGCGATAAAACAAAGTTAATGTGAGCCCTGAATACTTGATAGGGCACTTAGAACCTAATTAAAACTGAAATCTCTCTCCTGTGTTTTAAACTTTCCATTCCTTCTCTCTA